CAGAGGAGGAGGATGCGCGGTGGGCGCGGCGAGGGGCAAAGGATCGGGCAGGGCATCGACGTACGCGGTGCCGGTGGGCGGAATCATGTACACGGCCACATGGACACGAGTATCGATGACATTGAGACTGCGATCGACACGAGACTCCTCGATCAGGTAGCGAAGCTGCTGCTGCTCCACATAATTGACCACCGCCTCGAAGTGGTCCCGGCGGTCGAGGCCGGCCCCGAAGCCGGGAGTGTCGATAATCGACAGCTGGGTCAGGGCGCCGGAGATGTCCAGCACCATAGACCGGGCAGAGACGGCCACCGTGCTGGGCAGGTCGATCGGGTGCGACGGCCCGGACAGGTCGTGCCCCTCGGTCATGGCCTGCACCAGGGTGGTCTTGCCCAGGCCGGCCGAGCCGACGATCATGATGTTCAGGGTCGGCAGGCGCCGGGGGCGGCGGGTCCCCTTCCTGGGGGTGGCGATGTCGGGCTTGACGGGGACGTACTGATGGCGAGGGGTGCGGATGAGGTTAGCACCCTTGTGCGTGTAGTAGGGAGTAGGGAGGAGCGAGGGGGAGGGAGGGAGCGAGCAAGCGAGAGGGAGCGAGAGGGAGCGAGAGGGAAGTGGAAGAGGGAGAAAGAGAGACAGCAATGACGGCGGTGGCCGGCGAGGGGTCAGACGAGGTGCCAGCATACCTTGGTGGCCATGGCGCGCGGGCTTCTGCTTCAGGAGGAGGGGGACGAAAGGTGGGGCGGGGGGGGGGGAGAGGGGGGAGAGAGAGAGAGAGAGAAATAAAGAGGGGGAAGAAGGTTGCCGACAGTGGCGAGCACCGAGCACGACCGGCGTGTGGCGTCAAAAATCCACGCGCCCCCGGGCAAATGAGACGTGCAGGCCGGAGCGGAGCAACGCATCTGTGTGTGAACGGATGATACTCGGGCGGTCGCCACACACACACACACACACACACCATCGCCAGGAGGCCGGAAAGAGCGGCCAGGCCCCACAAGAGAGGTGGGGAGCGGGTGGGGGCTCACAGGGGGGCCCGCCTCGCCTCGAGGCCGCGGGTCCGGCGGCAACCGGTTGACAATCCGCTCCACCTCGGGGGGGGCGGGGGGGCGGGGGGCCGAACGGGCCCAATGCCACACCGAGGCCCACCCCCCATTCAGAGGCCAGTCAATCGGCTGCTCCGACCGCACTGCCTGCGCTGCGGCCACGGCAACTTGCCGCCCCGGGGCTCAGCTCTGGGCGTCGGCTGGGCGGCCTGCCCGGTGTTGAGAGGAGCCCCGGGGTTGCAACTGGGGGCGGGGGGGGGGAGCCGTGCGTCCTGGCCATCGTTCCCCCTCCCCCCAGGGGCACTCCCCTGCGAAGGGCAGGGAAGGCCTGCCGGAGAACCGTGCGCGACCCTTGCCCGGTTGGCGCCCCTGGATCCGTTCCGCACCCGCCTCCTGCTCGAGAGCCTCCTGCCGGCTTTCCCCGTAAAAAAACAAGGGATGCCCCCCGGTCTCACCCGAGTGTAAGATACAGCCCGGTGGGATGCCAAATGCCCGCCCCGCATCCGGCCCCGCCGGGCTTGGAAAACGCTGCATTCCTTTGCGCCCCCCCCCCCTCCGCCCTCCCCCTGGCCAAGCGCCGCCCTGCTCCTCCGGCCTCGGCGGACCCTAGCATGCCCGACTCCGGCCGGGCGGCATGCCGGAAGGAGGGTCACATGATCCGGACGATCTTCCGCCGGTTGTCACTTCGTGCTCCTGAAGGCCACCCACCCAGAGAGCCAGCCCCCCGACGGGGCTGGCATCACCTCGCCTCTCCTCGCCCCCCCGCCCCCCCTCTCCCGTGCCCGTCGCCCGCCTCCAGCGCCCCCCGCCCGCTGCCCATTCACGATGTCAATGAACTCGGCCATTCTGACAATGGCCTACAGCAACATCAGGGCCCAGGAGGAGCAGCACCGGCAGTCGCCCCTCCGGTCGGAGCTGACCCCGGAAACCGTGCAAGCTGCCCGCAAGAGTATGCACAGTGCCCCCCCCCCCCCCCCCCCCCCCCCCCCCCCCCCAGACCGGCAGGTGCCGGTGTCCTTCAAGAACCCCGTCCTGCGTCATGTGCCCCCCCCCGGCCCAGCCTCCCGGGGGGCGCCTCTGGTCCCCCCCCCCCCCCCCCCCCCCCCCCCCCCCCCCCGCCCCCCTACCCCGCCTGCCGCACGCTTTCACCTCCCGCGCGTCGCTGACTTCTTCCCCTCGTGCCTCGCTCCGCCCCCGTCACCATGATGATGCGCAGCAATGGTTCGCTTCGCTGAGGCTGCCTTCGGCCCGGCCGACGCACCAATGACCGGGCTGAGCAAAGTTCAGGACGCCATTCGCCGGCGTGTCCCGGCCACTGTTCTTCTCACTGTACGCCCCGCCCTTTTACACCCTACACACGCACACATGCATATGCCACAAAGTATGCGGCTGACTTCCGGTGCCTATCTACTGCGCGCGCAGCGTGCCCTTGACACCGACGCCCGGCGCTTGCGTCATGCGCATGACACGCTGGAGTCCCTCATTCACTCGTCCGGACCATCCGGCAACGACCAGACGCCTGGGGTGACGAATACCCATCGCCAGTCCGACGGTCAAGATCTGACCGTGTTGTCAAGTGAATGCCGCACGAGGGCCCAGGCCTCCCTCCGGCGGACCATGGCTGCCCTGCGTCTGGCGACGGTCCTCTCGCAACGCGGACACATGCGCTCTGGGCCTATGGGCCCACGCCTTCCGACCGGAGGGGCTGCCCCCTCTGCAGCCTCGGTGCCCCGTCAAGGCAACAATATCTCGGTGCTGCGGTCGCCCGTGGCGGCGGCCGCTGGGGTTCCGGCGAGCCCGGTCCCTCTGACGTCCTCGGAGCCCGTCGAGGAACCGGCCGCAGCCGGGATCATGTTTTCCATCCAAGGCCCAATCCTCGGGCTGGACGAGGCGCCCTCGCCACTGGCTCCCACCGAGGCGTCGGTTTCCAGCAGTCCGATCCTCAATGTACGCGCGCTGTCCTGTCCTTCCCTTTCTTTGACCCTTGCTCGCGCATTCCCCCCCCCCCCCACACACACACACACGCACACACGCGATCACCTCGCTCTTAGACCCTCAACCCAACACTCACTCTGGTCCATCTCCGCCTTCTTCCCTGGTGCCGCACATCCCCACCTGCCTGACCGTCCCTGATCTCGCCTCCCTCCCGCACTGTTGTCTCGGGCGATGTGAAAAAAAAAAAAAACACTCCCCGGACAGACACACCAACAATGGACTGTGAATGGTCATGTGTATGCCGATATGTATGACGCCGACGGCGGATCAGATGACTTTGGTCTGCAATATAAGTCCTTCTGATGTGGGCAATGCCGTTCCACATATCGACATTCCGTTCTGATGTTGATCGCTGCAGATCTCGGTCCCCTCTGTTTAAAGGCGATGGAGGGGGGGGGGGTGGCCACAGAGCAGTACCGCGACGCGCTTCGGACCTCGCGTATTAGAAACCCGAGGTCAGGGTACTGGCCAGGCCCGACCCGGCCAGGCAGAGGGCAGAGAGAGAGAGAGAGAGAGAAAGACACATCGGTGCGCGTCTTGCCAAATGGTGGCGGCGCCCGAGGCCCGGCAGTTGCCAATCGAGTGGGCATGAAAGGACCGGCCAGCCCTGCGCACCCTGGCCATCCGAACCCCCAGAATGCGCACCCCCCTCCCCCCTGCCAAGCCCTCACTTGGTGACTCTGGCTTCGACTCCGTGGGTGTGGCGTGGGAGATTCATGCCTCGAGCCCCCGCTCGGGCCGGAACGCAGGGCGGAGGCCACAGCACGCGGGCGCGGCCTGCGTGCCAGTCCAGTGAAACTGGCCAGTGTTCTGGGGAGACAAGAAGGCGAGAATGGCAATTCGCGTGGCCCCCCCCCCCGCACCCCACCCCATCCCGGCGGGCAGGCCCGCTGTGTTGAATGCGGGCCCTCTCGCCCACACTCGCTTCCTGGCGGCCGACAAGCCTTTTGTGGCTGGCTGGTTGCCGGGGGCAGCCGAGCGGCTGGGCGAGGGCGAACGACGCTCAGGTGCATCACAAGCCAGTGGCCCCCAGCCACTCTCCTGCCCACAAAGCCCCATGAAGCCGCACGGCCCACGACCGCGCCTTGGACCACCACGGAGGCCAGCGAGGGCGCGGCAAGAGTCGCAGATGGCTCGGGGCCCGGCCTTCCGGCAACCGCGCGCTCTCTCTCTCTCTCTCTCTCTCTCTCTCTCTCTCCCTGCCCCTGCGTGGGTGTTCCTCTCCACACTGGCGAGTAAGCGCGGCCGGGGC